CCCTTATCCACCCCCCTTCCTTCCCTCCACCTTCCCTTCACCCCTCCTTTCCCTCCTTCACCCTCCCCCCACCAGAAAGAAGCGTCCCCCCCGCCTCTTCGCCTCGACGGCCGCCCCCTCAACGCCAACCGCCGCCAAGGTCTCGAGTTCGACTTCAAGGAGGACGAGCAGCCGCAATGCCTTGCGTCCTCGAGGTTCACACGTACAAGTAGGTAGCGAAGGTTTTTTTTCCCGAGTGGAAGACGATTTTTTTTTTTTTTTTTTTTTTTTTTTGGAGGGGGGCGGGGGTAAGGGGGGTCTCGCGTAGTTTGTTTTTTGTGAGTAGTTTTTTTTTTTTCTCATGTCTCTGGTCTTCTTCTTCTCTCTCTCTCTCTCTCTCTCTCTCTCTCTCTCTCTCTCTCTCTTCTCTCTCTCTCTCTCATTCTCTCTCTCTCTCTCTCTCTCTCTCTCGCACTCTTTTCGTTTTTCTCTCTCTTTTACTCCCCTCTTTTCTCCCTCTCTCCGTCCTTCCCACCTCCCTCCCCTTCTCCCTTCTCCTATCCCCAACCTCTTCCCCCTCTCCACCCCTTCTCTCCTCCTTCTTCCCTCCCTCTAATCTCTCCTCCTCCCCTCCCTCTTTCCTCACCCTCTTCCCCCTTCCCCCCCTCCCCCCTCTGCCTCCCACCCTCTCCCTACCCTCTTACCTCCCTCTCTCCCTCCCTCTCCCTCCAGCCGTCATTCCTCCTACCCTCTAAATCCCCCTCCCCTCCCTCTCCTCACCCTCTTTCCCTCCCTCCCTCCCCTTCATTCTTCCCCTCACCCTCCACCTCCCCCTCCCACCCTCCCTCCCCTCCCTCCCCACCCTCCCTCCCCCTCCCTCCCACCCTCCCCCTCCCCCTCCCCTCCCCCTCCCACCCTCCCCTACCCTCTAACTCCCCCTCTCCCTCTCCCTTCCCCGCTCACTTTTGTAGCTCTTAAAGCGTTTGATCCCAACTTCACAACTTTAAATGTTATTCATCCCGAAAAAAGAGCGTGTTCTATATCATATCAAAGCAAGTCCGATCGATGAATTATTTCTCTCTGTTCTTCACAAGGGATGAATTATTTCTATTTGTTCTTTAAAAGAGGAATTATTTCTGTGTCTTCTTCACAAGTGAGAAATTATTTCTATCTGTCCTTCATAACAGAGGAATTATTTCTGCTTGTTCTTCTCAAGTGAGGAATTATTTTTGCCTATTTTTCACAAGGGATGAATTACTTCTCTCTGTTCTTCACAAACGATTAATTATTTCTATCTGTTCTTCACAAGCGATGGATTATTTCTCTCTGTTCTTCACAAGCGATGAATTATTTCTCTCTGTTCTTCACAAACGATGAATTATTTCTATCTGTTCTTCACGATTAGCCGGTCATGCCAATCACGAACGGTTTGTTATCGAATGAGAAAGTCAATAAAAAAACTCATATAAAATTCTGCGTTCTGAGTATCACGTAAGCCTTTGTTCTCGAGTACGTGTAAGAAAACACACATATAAATGGACACGCACATGCAATCAGGTACATACACATACGTAAGTGCATGTGCGTATACATATGTGGGTAGGTATACATATATTAGGACTTAAACACGTACATATATACATACAAACACTCATAGACAGACACGTACACACATACACACGATTAAACACAAACATAACCAAACATAACTTTGCCTCCCTCACACAAACACAAACAAACACAACCCCCATAGGCAAACAAACAATCATCCCGCACCGTCGCAGACAAACAAACAAACAAACAAACACTCTTACAAACCAAACTTAATCCCCATAGGCAAACACACAAAACAAGCACCCCCGCACCCTCGCAGACAAACAAACACCCCCATCCTTCAAACAAAAACAAGCAAACACCCCATCCTGCAAACAAAAACAAACAAACACCCCATCCTTTCAAACCAAACAAACAGACACCCCGCACCCTCACAGACAAACAAACAAACACCCCCATCCTTTCAAACAAAACAAACAACCACACACATTCCAGCGGTGACAGAGGTCGCGAGTGCCACTGGCTCGATGACGTCACAACATGTCATTTACCTCGAGTTAGCGAGTTTATTGCGTCCATTGCCAGGTCGACTCTCGGGGTCGCCTGGGGAGAAGGGGGAGGGAGGGGGAGTGGGGTTGGTTGGGGAGGGAGGGGGAGTGGGGTTTGGGCTGAGGGAGGGGGGGGAGGGAAGGAGAGAGAAGAGGGGAGGAGGGAGAGGGAGAGGAGGGGGGGAGGGAGAGGGAAGAGGGATGGGAGAGGAAGAGAGGAAGGAGCCTGATGGGCGAGGGAAGGGAGGGAGAGGGAATCGAAGCTGGGTAGCGAAGGGAGGAAGGGAGGGAGAAGGAAAGGGAAGAGAA